AGGCAGAGGAAATGCAGGTCTCTTGTGCTGCTCTGACCCTGCTCCAAACCTCAGCACGGCAGTGAATTCCCCTTGCTGCTCTTCTGTGCAGAAGGGGAGCTCTCCTCTTATACTGAGCTTTGCAGCGGGCAGAAACCTGTGCCTGCTGTAAAGCCCATTGTGACGCAAGACCCCCTCTTCCCTTGTCCTTTGTTTCCTGCAATTCATGGAGAACTGGGGCGGGGGGGGGGGTGTCTGTCTGCTACTCAACGTACTGCCTCTCCAGGGGTATTTGCCCCCATCCAAGTGCCCTTGACATTGAATGCCAAATGATCAAATGGCCCCACCATGTCCTGTGGTTCAGACGGCCTTACAGCACTGTCGTAATACTCGGGCTCTTAAAGCATTCTGGGCAGGTCGTTGTGTGACACAGATAATAAATAACCACAATGGTATGGCACAATCCAGTTTTTCTTCCCACAATTACTTTCTAGTGCGTCTGGTGGATCTTTGAGATTAGGACCCATGTACTTGGTGCTTGAGTTAGAAACAGGGAAAGGAATTATTTCCAGCTGGCTTTGAAGAAAGTGGATGTGTCTGCCCTGTGCACTCTTATTATAAAATAAGTCTTTTCAGGGCAGCCCTGTGTTTAAGGTCTGGCAGCCAGGAATTCCATGCGGGCGACTGAGCGGACTGGCAGAGGAGGGATGGAGTATTCCATTTCCCTTCTCTGCCTGGCGTTGAAATCAGCTGGCGTGCTAGAAGGGGGACGTTTTCTCTTCAGCTCACAGCACAGAGAAGCAGCTCTTGGTCCTTTCCCTGCCAAGCCCCATTTTATTTTTTTTCCATTTTGGCTGGGTAGTAACTTTTGTGGGCCTATTTACAATGTGGTGTAAGTGGTTGAGGAGAAAAATCAGTGGGCATAGTGAGCACTGAGGAGAATCACCTTCTCTGCGCTACCCCTAGTTGCATCATTGGAATGGGGAGCCTGTATTATAATTGTGCTTTGTGATTTCCTGCTTTCAGTGTGTCCTGGTTTTATACTGCTGCCCTGTAATCAGGCCTGACCTAATGGAATTGTTTGTTTGTTTTGCAGTAATAGTGGGAACACAACTAAAACAGTCAGATTTTATTGTGACCTGGATTATTTGTAGAGTTTCACCGCCATGCTTCCAGACTTTTGCTTTCAGCAAACATCTTTCATGCTTCTTGTGAAAGAATCTTTGTGTGTTGTATTGTGTGCTAGGACACAAGTCGGCCCACATTGCTCAGGTCAGGATTTTTTGGCCTCTTTGTCATCCTGAATGAATGGAATAGCACACCCCAAACTTGTCTGTGCATTGCAGAGAAAGATCATAGTAGTGGGCAAAGCGTCTTTCAGGGGAGCTTGTGTGTTACCGATATTCTCCTGGGGGACGACACTGTATTCCTTGGTGCAGCTAAATCACTGTTGTAGAAGAACAGATGCTCTTAACCTTTGAGACAGGGTAGACCTTGTCAAGTAGTTAAATGCCTAAAGCGCTAAGTGCTTTGTCTATTTTTGAGGTACAATTATGGCCTTTTTGTTTTGTTTTTGACCATCTAAGGAAATTTGCTTGGCTTCAGGTATGTAAAGCTGAGGATTTGTAATACCTTTGAATGACTTCAGTGCTCTTGTGTCCAACTGGGATTTATGAAATGGCTTTTCTTGTGGCTTACTGTATTCTTCCCCTTCTTGGAGCAATTAAGTACATTGGCTCATGACACATTACAAATTTAAATACTAACCTATACTTCTTGCCTTGAATGAGTTTGGGGCTGCTTCTAATATTCTATCTTATGACCTGGGTTTTTTTTTTTTGGGTGGCGGGGAGATAGGAAGGCCATGAAATGGCTGAAAACATGCTGGAATTATTTGAATTGGATGTGACCATTGCAACAGGAAAGCTCCTAGCAGAAAAGTCTTTTAAACCAGTCCACAAAAGTTACTAGCCTGCGGAATGTTTTATTAGCCAGCTGGGGATTGGCAAAAGAAAGACAAAAAGCACCAGCCCTCTTCCAACAGCCTGCTGTGCTGGGTGTGGAGAGGGCAATGAATTGAGCCATCTTTTTTCCATCATCCTGTTCATGTGAATACGGACATGTACTGTCAGCAATAGCCCTCTTTTTAAAAGTGGAACTTTGAGGTACCCACCCTGCACTTAAGCAAATTTTTCTCAGCACAGAATGTTAAGAAAATCACTTTATTCCTGCATACTAGCAGGGCATTAAGGCAATTTCCACTCTTGCTGTTTAGCAACTGGTCTTTGGTGGCACCCTATCTCTGAACTTGGAGAGTGCAGCTAGTTTGAGTAATATATGCTGAAGTGCCTTAAAGGGCTGTTGAGGTCATGTTGCTTTTTGTAGACATGGGAAGGGTTAAAGTATTCAAGCAGCAATATATGTTTGATAGAAATCTTATCTGCCTCCTTTCTAATCCTTGAGATTTCAGGAGGCATTGCCTATAGATTTAACCCCCAGTAAGCAGTGGGTTGTGGGTGGTTAAATGTGAGTTGTTTTATCTATGGTGACTAGTTCTGCCATGTTATGCAAACCAATCTCATGGGATCTTTTGTTGAATTTGTCCTGGTTAAGAACCCATAGTTATGGATTCACATGTAACAAAGAGTTTAGCAAACAAATGAACAAACAGTGCTTTGGCATCATGAACAGGCCAGTTCTTCTGAGTTATATTTACATGTGAACTAGGTCAAAGTGTTGAAATTCGTAACTATAAAAGCTGTTCTCTGTATGCCATATGATGCACCTGCTGGATTGGTGTATATGTGCTATCTTGATATGACTAGCTTAAAGCTTTGTGGCAATTCAAGGTCAGTATGGTATTTTAAACCTGACATTACAGAACTCCTTGGAAATTGATACCTGGGTGAGTTTGCATGTTTGGTGTTCATGTGATAATCTGTGCCCTATCTTTATATAAACTCACCCTGATAAGCATTTTTGGATAGTTGTAGTACTTGTCAGTTTTCTCAATTCAAAATAATTGTTGAGGTGTCTTGGTAGATCTAAGAGTTGACAGCTGTGACTAGAAAAGCAAAAGTGCTAACATCCTTTTAAAGAAAAGCAAGATGTGTGTCTTCTGTTCTAGAGAGTTTGGAGACTGCAATAAAGCAAGTGCTGTCGTATAGACAACTCAACATTTTTTAGATGCAAGCCAGGAACCTTTTAAAATGGCTATAGCTCTTTATATGTCGTACATATTCTTGCTTGGAAAAAGGAACAAATTATTTATTTTTTGTGCTACAATTGCCAGAGAAGGTTTTTGGCACTCTTAACTTGGAAAGCTATCACACGCACATGATAAAAACACAAAGTTGAAACTTCTGCTGGGCTGAACAAACATTTTATCTAGGGAATACATTAGATGGGTTCAAAACATCATATGTTCCGGGTGGTGGTGGGGGGAGGCATCTGCACTTGCAGCTTCTGTACTTCTAGTTCTTTAGGGCATCAAGGAATTATTTGCCCTTTACTCTGAAATGTAGAACTGATGCAGTTACCTGTGTTGTTGAAACCTTCCAGATGAATGCTTTCTGAGGGGACAACTGTAAAGGTCACAGAGACTTCCGCTAACATGCTGCCTGCTCTCAGCACATCTTGCGTTTATGTGGGTGTACAGGAATGAGCAGGAGGCAATATTTTATTTTTCAAAGCTCAAGTATTTTGATGGTCATTTTGCTCTGGGGCAAAAGTTCATGATATTTGTGCATCAGTCCATTTATAGGTCTGGGTACCCACAATTTTTAGACCAAGCCTTAGTTTTGCTGGGACGGAGTCATACTCTGAAGGCAAATGTTTTAGCAGCAGTGTGTGTGTGTGTGTGTGTGTGTGTGTGTGTGTACACACGCGTGCATACATACGCGTGTAAGAGATGAGCCTTGTATATTGGGTTGAGCTTGCACATTGCACAGACATGAGAAGGAGAGAGATGCAGCTCATCGTATAGTAGTGATGGCCTTGGCATCCTTCAGGTGTTTATAACGCTACTGGTACATTGGCTAATGCTGGTGTGCATTGTAGGCCAGAACATCTGGAGGACTGTGAGTCCCCCGCCCTTGCCTTGCAGGTTCCTTAACAATGGGGATCAAGTCACCAGGGTCAGGTTGTACCCTTTCCTGACACTCTTCAAAGTGTGCTACTTTTTGCTCCTGAATGGCAGTCATTCCCTCCTCTGTCAGAAAGCAGCGCCCTGCACTTCAGGATTCCTCTTTCAGTTCGACTGGGACAATGGGCGAGTTTTGTCCTCTCTCCTCCGCTGTTCCTCCAGTTTAGTGGCTTTGACATGCCTTGGTGCACAGGCACAAAGGATGCTGCCTAACGGTGAGTCAGAGCGTCGGTCCATGTAGCCCAGTACTGTGGGCGCTGATCGGCAGCAGTGAGGTTTCAGGCAGGGCTCTTTCCTAGCCCCACCTAGAGAAGAGTAGGAAGCATGTGCGCCCCCATGGAGCCATGGTAAGCCCAAGTGATTATGGGAGCCGCAGTTCAAACCATCTGGAAGGCACCAAGAAATCACCCCTGCTCTGGTGTGACAGGAACCAATTCTTTTTTCTGTTCCAACCCAGCTAGTGGTGAATGCTTTGCTGTTCCCCCCTGAGACCCTAAATACTCACCCTTGGCTCAGTAGTGCCCCCACGAAAACAAAAGCATATGGGTGCAATGAATGCTCTTGCAGCTGAGAGACAGAGCACTTGACTTCCATGCAGAAGATCCCAGGTCCGGTCCATGGCTTCTCTGGAGATCCCGTTTGGGAGGCACATCTGCCAGAGACTCTTGGATAGCTGCTGGAAGTTGGATGGACAGTCCTTGGCTAGATGGGGCAACATTGCACCATGAGGCTGCTGCATTTGTTTCAGTATATTCCGAGACGGTGGGTAATGCAGAGTGGCCCTTCAGCGAACACAGGCATTCGCTGCGGTTCTTGACATCCCGAGCACCTCCAGAGGAAGCCTGAGCGTGACCCTGACTTTTTTTCATCCTGGCAGATGAGGAAGATGGTGTATGGGACAATGGACTCTCCTATGAATGTCGGACTCTGCTTTTCAAAGCGATTCACAACCTGGTCGAAAGATGCCTAATGAACCGGAACTTTGTGCGCATTGGGAAATGGTTTGTGAAGCCTTATGAGAAAGATGAAAAACCCATAAATAAAAGGTAAGGTACTTTCTTTGTTTTCTTCCCTCTACTTCATCCTGTGTTTTTTACTTGTAGCTTTGGGATAATAATAATTTGTTTTGTCATACTGGTAGAGAATGGCAAACTGGTTATTCATGTGAGTGCAGATTGCTGGTGCTGATGGATTTGATTTCCATATGTTTGCAGATTCCTTGGAGAATTTGCTTGTACAACTATTCTTCTGTTGAAATAGCTCTTTCTTATATTTACTTGTTCTGAAGTTAGTGGGACCATCGTTTTCTTGTAGGTTTCTCTCGCCCTAGACTGTTGCCACCTCAAAATGGAAATACATAAGATACCATGCCATGGGAGCATGATGCAACTGAGTGACATTTAGTAGTAAAAGAACACGTACAAAGTAAAAGTTTAGTAAAGGTGCATTTTTGGAATGTAGACAGTCATGTCATGGATCTCCACTGGTCCACTTAAAAAAAAACAACAACGAAACTTCCAGATGAAGCAATCGTGTAAAACTTTTAGCTGAAAGTCCAAAAGAAGCATTATCCCACCCTTTCCGTAAGCCTCTCTCCTCCTGAAAGTATAGTACAGCAAATCTAAATAAAATAATAAACCAGAAAGACAAAGCCCACTAAAACAATAGCACTCTAACAGTTATTTTAAATGTGATGTGCCGTACTTTTTTGTGTAAGCCAAGAGAGCGTTGGGCAATTGTAACCCTGAAGGTTGAATAGTCTGTAATTTGGAGGCGCACAGTCAGACCCTTTGCTGCATGTGTGTCTGAGAAACAGGCCTCTGCAAGTATGTGGTGTCCTCAGACAGTCCTTTTCTGCAGATCTTAGTGACCAGAATAAATAAATGAATGAATAAAATTATGTAGATTTCCCAGAACCCTTTTTCAAAACAAGTAAATACTCACGCTTTAAAATATGTCTTTTGCCTTTTGTCTTCCCCTCCACTCCTATCTGGAGAACTAAGCTGCTTCAGTACTCTGTGAGGTGTTTGGTAGGCCCTAATAAAAACGGTAAAGGCATAGCTGTTTCTCTTGGATCTAGACAAGGAGAGCCACATTTTTATCCCATGTCTGTTTTTATTGTATACTTTATGACCTTTGGCTCCTGGTGTTTCAAGAGGCCTAGAAGATAATTTATATTTTCACGACGGTGTGCCCTCGCTTCCTTCAAAAGGCTCCTTATGGGCACACTGAAGTGTCTCTTTGAAGGGTCACTTCAGATATTTCCTATAGGAACCAGTGAAGTGGGAATGGCAAACACTTTGTTCCTAAATGCGCCGAAGGATGAAGCATGCATGCTGGCAGATTGCTCTTGGCCATGGATCCCCAGCACATGTTGGCTGTTTTTTGAGGAAGAATGTCTGACATTCAAACCATGTGTTACTGTGGAAAGCATTTTCTGTAGCTGTGGAAAACATGATTGCCATAGAAAGTGTTGAAGCTTCTGCCTGTGTGTGTGCGTGAGTGTGCGTGCTTGCATGATATTTCAAAATATGTTGACTGTAAGCTCTTCTTTCTCACCTCTGAGTATTGTCGATAATGCCAGTTACTGTCTGATGCTACTCCTGCTTGTGCCGATTCTAATCTAGCAAGGCAAGGACCCAGGCAGAGATGATCTTTGGTAAAGAAATCTAATGACATATCTTCATACCACATTCCTTGGTATTATTTAATTTGGCAGCTTCATTTGAGGATTGCACATGCAAGTTCGAGTAATTCCTTTGTCTGATTTTAAATTTGAAACAGGTGTTTGAAATGTGCAAGTTCTTTAAAGAAAGAACTTCAGCTCATGAATATCCATCTAAGATGTTTTAAAGCTGTGGCTAGCCATTAAAGTCCTGGCATTCTGTATTATACCGACAGTCTTTAAACACCATTACATTGCCATCAAAATGCTGATGCACATCTTCAGAATTGCAAATGCTTGAGGGGATGGCACCTGTGAACTGCCCAGAAATACTTTGACAGATGAGCTGGGAAGAGTGTGACAAAGGAATTTTATGTGTACGGCAAGGCAGATGTGTGGCAAACATGAAGTGTACAAGACTGCTAGCCAACCCTGAATAATAGCCACGTATTCTTGCAAATATTTTGCAAAATGACTGTTTCACTCTTAGCAGTATCCTTGACACTACTCTGTCTCAACTATTTGGTTCATGATGAATCTGTGCAAGAATCCAAAATCTCCACTGCAGCTATTCTTGGTTTTGTGATGGAGGAATAAATGGGATACAGTTTTAATTAATTTTTGACATAGTGACATGTGCCAAAGGTAAGGCAGATTCTCATCAAATACATGGAATACAAGCTAAGGCTGACAGTCAAAAGGAAATATTTTACTGCAGATCTGGAGATAATGAAGCCAAAAAAATACCCTGCATAGAAAGTGTATTCTCAAAGAGTTGTGGATATTTAATTGGAAAAGCCAAGAGGAAAAATTATCTTCTATTCCATCTTTAGTCACCCTAACAATCAGTGCAGTTTCAGGTCCTGCCATGGAATGAACTGTAAAGAAAAACAGCAGAACTGCAGGCCGGATCCTGGTGAAGGCAATCGTGGTTTATTGGCAAATGGGCACAGAGGAACACCTCCCTGAGCATCTTGGGGGATTTTTCTTACTTTTCTTCCCTTGCACCAGTTCTTCCCATGGTGTTGCAGAAATATTATTGGTGCAGAATTATACTAGTACTGCAGAAATATCAGTGCTAAACAACTGTATCTCCAGCATCTCTCCTTGGATACAGGCAGACTGAGAATAGAAGATGGTTATCTTGATTTTCGACTGTTTTTGCCAGTCAGACCATAATTTCCTTGCTGGTTCTCTCCTGAGTTCTGAATCAAGGTTTCTTGTGATGAATTGTGAGCTTTGGGCACACCTTGATCGATTCAGAATGAAATACATGTCATAATTAATGGATAAATCATATCTCCCAGTGCTCCAGACTGTTGCACTTGGTGTCAGCTTAATAGTGCAGTGCTGATGAGAACTGAAGGCCAAAACAGTTAGTGATAAGAGTATTTTGAAATTACTGGCAGCCTACCTTTCCCCTGTAAGCCCCTCAGCGTGGCCTGGTTTGAAACAAACCAAAAAACAAAATTTTGCTGCACATTAAACAACTTTTCCAGGTCCTGAAATAGCCACTAAGAGCCGATCTGTATTTACTCCAGCCAAAGAGTGGAGTGATAGCACAGCCTTGCTGTGCTGTCAGGTGGTGCCAGGTGGAAGGCATTCCCTAATCTGAGTGCTGCTGCCAGAGAAAACTCTGTTTTTGGTAACCCCTCCTCAGACTTTGAAGATGGGACAGTTTAGAAAGAGCTTCGGGAAGGGATCTCAGTGGATGGGAGGGATCCTGTGGGAGAAACAGGATCATGTCTGTTTCCAGACCATTTAGTTCATGTAATTGGGGATATTGATAAAATGACCTATTTATAAAACCAGTAAAATATAAGGAGGTTGACTAATCTGCAGTATAAGAAAAACCACGCTGGATTAGACCCATGCCCCATCAGGTTCAGCACTCCTTCACATGATGGTAAACCAGCTGCCCACAGGGTCTCTTGAGCAGGATGGGTGCAAGGCCTCCTCCTGCCCAACCTTCTTAGCAGCTGGGGTATGCAGGCATGGTACCCCAGGTAATGGAGGTGGCACATGGCCAGCAAGGCTAGTAGCCACTGATAGCCCCCTCCCTCATGCATCTGTCCAGTCCCTTTTTTAAAGCCATCCAGACTGGAGGTCATTCATATTTGAATGAATTTGTCTTTCTGACTCTGACCTGCAGGTTCTGTATTGGACTGGCTTTTCCTGAGTTGCTCAAATTGTGCGGACTGGTGGAGCAGTGTATTTTCTAAATTTTTATGCAAATATAGTTCTTGAAACAGTTGAATTTAGAACTAAGAAGGGCTGTCATGGATAGGACATTTTGGAGGACTGTCAATCATACGGTTGCCATAAGTCAGGGACAACATGACAGCACATAACAACAACAAAGTGACTGAAAAATGCAGAAAGAAAAACTGGGTGAAAATGCATGTTTCTCTCCATAGTCTAAAGCATGAAAATGCACGTTTTGGGAATCTCTGCTGCTTGAAAGGATGTATGCATTTTCAGAAGTGTGATTTTGTGCAAATGCGTGCATCATGTATACCGCAGGGAACAGAATGAAAGGTGGCTGGAAATCTGTAAAACATGGATGGGTCAGATTTAATGAGACCTGTGCAGCCTTTATAAAATATAATCATAGGCTAATAAGTTAGTAAAAACTCATGGAACCAGCTGACCACCTGGACAAACAAGCTTTGACCTGGTGCCAGAATGATAGCTGGTTCTACATTCATAGGGAAGGCGCTCCACAAACTTAACAGAGAAGACCCTTTGCCTAGTTGTGTTCGACAGCAAGCAAAGGCCATCTTATATTCACCTTTTTTTTAAAAAAGAAGAACCTCATTAGATTTTGAAATACGGGCGTGCTGACATAGGCAGACTTGTTCCTTTGGGTATTTGAGTTCTCAGTCATTCAGCTATAGGGCTGCGCCCTTAGGATGGTTAACGGCCACTTTACCCATTACAGTCCCTAGTCTGTGAAAGTGCTTTGAAAGAGCCAGGGGTGCAGTGTGGAGACGGCTCTCTCATTGAGACATGCCTGTAGCTCAGTATTGTCTGCAGCGGTTTCCAACAGGCATCGCCAGGGTTTGAACCTGGGCGTTTTGTTTGTTGTCTTTCAGTTTTTATTTTGGCATGCAAAGCAGGCTCTCTGAGCTGTCACTGCTTTTTGGATTGCCCTTGGTTTGTCTTGACATACAAAATTGTGGTTTTGAAATTGCTTTGCTCTGCTTTAAGTGGTAGTGCTTTGTCTTGAGTAAGCTTTTCCTCTTTATGTGTCTTGAGTATGCATGAACATACCATATCTCCTCCTTGCCAACTCTGGCTTGAACAGTCCTGTGTCTGGAGGAGCCTTTTCCAACCTAGTGTCTCCCAGATCTTTTGGATCACAGCTCTCAGCATGTCATT